CAGCGAACCCGCGCAGCCGGGCTCAAACTTAATGGGTCCTAGATGGCTCAGGCTGCTCGCAACTTGGCCCAATTAGGCCTCCACTCCATGCACGCAACTGGGATGCACCACAGATACGTGGGACTGATGCGGCGGCATGCGCCATGCAATCTTTGGCTCTTGATGTGCGAACACAGAAGATAACATGCTCATGTCAGCATGATATTCATTTCTGCGTGCCGTTGGGTTGACAAAACCAATACGTAGAAGGAACGCGGTTCTAAGCATAGGTGTCACACCCAAGACGAGAGGCGGTAAACAAGAACGTCCGCGAGCTTGACTTAGCACCTCCAAGGCGGATAGCTGACAGACTCTCAAACATTTCGGGCCATTCTTGCCACCGCAAATCCACATTTCCGCTTTTGCTCTCATGCAGCTTGGAGAGACCCTTTCCCTCAGCGGTTGGTGGCGACACATTCTCCAGGCACGCGCAAAGCCAAGGCCCTCAAGCTCTGGGCCGGCTTCAACGAGAGTCGATGCGCATGCCTTTCTCGGTAGGGTTGAGGCTATTGAGTGTTTAGGGTTTAGGGTTTAGGGTTTAGGGTTTAGGGTTTAGGGTACAACTGTCAAAAAGCTTGACGATTGAACCGGGCGATAGCACCCGAAATTGAAATTCGACACTGCCAAGGAGTCGCCAAAGCACGGCACTTGGAACGTCTGCCCTAGGATGCTTGCAGCAAGCGCCTGGGCACGATCTTACGGGACAGGGTGGAAAACCGCTGCTAAACCCTAAACCCTAAACCCTAAACCTTAAACCCTAAACCTTAAACCCTAAACCCAAAGAAGCTTGCAGGAAACTGGGATTCCTGACCCCTTCCGGCCACTTCCGCCACCGACCGTCCCGAACATCTGCCCTTGTCACAGCAAGTCTTCCTATAATGCGGTTGTAGGGTTTAGGGTTGAGGGTTGAGGGTTTCAGGGTTTAGGGTTTAGGGTCGAGCTTGCCATGCCAAGACCAAGCGTATTCCAGCCCAAGGCATGCACGTCGATGCCGAGGCACGCCACCAGAAGCGGGCGTCGCGAGCAAGTGTCAGAAATCAAGGACAGGCGCAGGCCCCACGGATGGCTATCTCGCAGGACGCTTGCGAGCTGCGAGAGGTCGCAGCTTAGGGCCTAATATAGGGGCCTGAAGAATTAGAATGGCTTTTTATGGGGGTTATTGTGGTATCCTTATACAGGGACCATAAGGGAATACTATTCGTACTTATTCCGACCCCTATATTGGAGGGCTTTGGGGGGGCACCTCTTCAAGCACAACGAAACCTGCCATGACCTGCCTCGTCGCCCCAGTGCATTGTAACCTTCCTTCGCCTCACTGCAGAAGGTTATGGGCTCTGGGTGTGGAACATCTCGCAAGACTTCGCAGCCGTCACTTCGGTTCAGGGTTTTAGGTTTTGGGGCTTAGGAGTTCGGGGGGGAAGCCGGCGGGAATGTCTGAACAAGGTCGCGAGGAAGATGTTCTTCGCTAGGGCGGGGCAAAAATGCTTGGCCGGCGCCAGCCGGTCTATACGGCCCACCTCCTGGAGCAGGCTGGACACTGCAGCTTCTTGAATCCGATGGCCAAGGCGTGCCCTTCCAAGAGGTGGGGGAGACTTTCTGGGACATCTGGGGACTGCACTGGGAGAGACCATCAGCGCCTTGCTAATTTTAATAGCAGGGGTATGACTTCATGACCCTAAACCCGAAACCCTAAACCCGAAACCCGAAACCCGAAACCCGAAACCCTAAACCCTAAGCCCAGACAGTCGACGTCTGCAAGAGAGGCAGCCTGCACACAGCTTCAAGGAGACTGCCTTAGGGGGCACCAGCACAGAGCCCTAAAACCCTGAACGCTCCATAAGGGATTAGGGTTTTTGGTTTGGGGTTTAGGGATTAGAGGGCTTAGGGTTTAGGGTTTAGGGTAGCCTTGACGAGAAAACTACCGGCCACCTACCTGAAACAAGCACAACTCATCTGAGCTCAGGCATCCAGTGTCCTGAGCTGCCAGGGCGGGGCCTCCAGCAACAGCCACAGTCATACCAAGTTTAGGGTTTAGGGTTAGGGTTTAGGGTTTAGGGTTTAGGTTTTAGGGTTTAGGGTTACCAACCACCGAAGCTCCCATTGAAGTCTACCAGATGGCATTGCCGGATCTCCATTTTAGGGCTCAGGTTTTTGGGGCCACCTATCTTGGGTGAAGATGCAGAGGCCGTTGATCTGAGAACACTGAGCTTCCTGGCCAAAGCGCTATCCGCCATCATCCATGCGGGTGATTGTTGGGTTCGGGTGCAGGGTTCAGGGGCTTTGTTCGAAACACATGCCCCTAGAAAAGACTGTGCGGAGGTTCCTTTTTGTTTAGGATCCCCCTCCGTGGCCTTCGCAATCACCCCTCCTGCAGAAGACTTCGCGTACGCAGATGGCGAGGCTGCCTTTGTCGACATCCCTGACTCCGGGAGTTGGGACTCAGCAGCCAGCCGACTAGTCTGCTTCAATGGAAGTTTACGAAAATAGGGGACCCCCCAAAATAGACCCCCCCAGTAGTAGGATGCCCTTGTAATAAGGACCCCAAGAAGGGACCCCCTGTTTTCCCAAACCCCCGAAATGGTCTCAGGTGCGACTTTCAAGGTTCAATTCGAGTCCTCTTGCGCTCTGTGAGCATGACATGATCGGGTCCATCGCCGGCAGCTGTGACTGTAACGTGTTTGCCAGCCTGATTCCCGGCGCACAACTGCGCGGGTTTCTTCCGTCAACCCTATTCCCTAAACCCTAAACCCCAAACCCCAAACCCTAAACCCAAAACCGAGGCGAGGCTTGCAACACATCGGAGCCCTTTCCTTGTCTGGCAGCTCTTCGTGCTGGCGAGCAGGCTCGCCAGCATCAGATCAGGCTCAGGGCTCCCGGGGGAATGGCAGCGCAGGGCAGAGAACTCACCACACAGGCCCATGGACCAGGCCGGGCTAGAGCCGTCGCTTGGCTCTTGTGAGAGCTTTGGCAGAGTCGTAGGCATGTCTACGACAAGACATTGCCAGCAGGACCTTGTGAGAGAAGCCTTGCAGGATTTCTGCGCAGACGCCCATCTCAGCTTTCCTGGCCCAAGACCTGCATGATGTTCGAACGACTCCAGCACTGCACCACACCGACAATATGCGAGACACGGATCGGGTCCATGAGCGATTGCAGTGCTTGAAGCCTTGAAGTTGAGTCTCCTTCACCCACCTGTGGAGCATCCTTGGGTCCTAGATCTTAAGCACTTAGGGCGGAACGGGCCCCGACCACGAAAGCTGCAAGGTCCGCAGTCCACAGCCTCACCGCCTTGCTAACTAGCCAAGGACCTCTGCAACTCAAGGGACGAGATGGGCTCTCTCTTTTTTGCAACTGCTTCCAACAGGTGTACGTACTTGTAAGCCTCCCCAATCCTAGGTAAGAGCACCGATTTCAAAGGCTGATGGGCTGTTGAGCTTCCGATGATGGGCGACAATTTCGCCATCGCCCACACTCATGGCCAACCTTACAGCCTTAAGGCTTTAAGGTCGCGCTCTCAGGTTTTGATGCTGGGGTTTGAACGGTTTTGGAGTCTAGGATTTAAGGCCGCTCGGGTCTGTTAAATTTGCGCTACAGCCGAGAGCCAAGCCTCTCGAAGACCTTTCAAGCACCGCAAAAGCCGGGGCGGCCAGATCCACGAGAAGCTCCTCGTCAACTAAGGAGGCACCCAGCGGTCCCAACAACTTTTCTGCTGGAACAGCGATCCGCCAAACCTAAAACCTAAACCCTTAGCCGAAACCCTAAACGCTAAAACCTAAGCCCTACTTACTCAGGGCTGATTATCGGCAAATTTGGACAGCTGCTCCATGTCCTTCCTCCGTGCTGCTGCTCCTTCTTAAACACGCGAGGCTTCTGGAGCGCCAGTGCAAAGACCTCAAAAAGCCAGCAGACCTCCTCTGCCAGGGTTTAGGGTTTAGGGTTTTCTAGGGTTTAGGGTTTAGGGTTTAGGGTTTAGGGTTTAGGGTTTAGGGTTTAGGGTTTAGGGTTTAGGGTTTAGGGCTTGGGGTTTGCAACCCCACGTCCATGTCCTGGAAATCTGACAGACGTGCAAAGTGCTTCCAAAAAGACCTGCGCCCAAGGTTGTCGGCAGGATGCTTCAGCATCAAAATCTAAGCACGCATGCACGCGGTCGGTCAGCTTCTCCTTCATGCACGGCTGACTCCGCCCAAAGCGCAACGACCAAGAGACACGGGCGCACATAACCTGACCATGGCAACTGGTGCCTCCTTCTTAGACGCATCTAACGCCTGCGATCTCTAGGACACCCATCAGCGGTCCCAGATCCTGCAACTCACCCCAAGGAGGCCTCTGAAGCCTACACGACCTGGCCTCGCCTCAAAGCTCCTTTTGGCTCGAAGGTGCTTGGTGTTCTTTCAAGTGCTCTCCTTTTTGGGTTTGAGGTTTAAAGTTTAGGGTTTAAGGTTTAGAGTTTAGAGTTTAAGAGTCTAAGAGTTGAGCGTTTAGAGTTTAGGAGCTCGGGACTACTGAAACTTGGAATCTGAATTCCCGATTTAGCGGCGTATCTGAGCTGCCGCAAGATTTGCCGCAGCCAGAACTCAGGCATTGAAGCGTAGGGACATGGCCAGTTTCCCAAAGCGTCAGTGCCGTCATGGGTGGATGAAAAGTGGTCAGAACCCGGAAGGCCTTTTTGGAGATGAGAAGCCAATGAAGGCTTTCGGGTTTAGGGTCTAGGGTTTAAGGTTTAGGGTTTAATCGATAGCTGCCAATGGAGGCGACCTTCATGGAAAGTGCAGAGCACTGCAGGTACGAAGACCTGTACGTCTTCATGTCCAACACACCGGTGATCTACGCCTGTCACTGCAGCAGGGTGCTTGGCAAGTTTGCTGCAGCAAACGGACCTTCGAATTTCAAACCAAAGGGAGGGTGTAGGGTTTGGGTAAAGGCCTGTAGGGTTTAGAGGCCCGAATGTGGCGCAGTGTGTCTCAGGCAACAATCCCAAGCCCGAATCCTTTGCACGAGACCGGCGCGAACTGGAAGCATCTCAAAACTGCCAACAGCAGCAAGGGGGTAAAGGGGGTAGCGGCGAGCTTTTCTGGGTGTCGGTCAAGTGCTGAATGCAGTCGTGATAAGACCTCTGGCAAGTGTGAGGACTCACAGGTCCGCCGAAGCGAAGCGAAATTCCTGGGCGCACCCCGATCGGTCAGCATCTTCTTTCTGCGTTGCTTGCGACAGGGCCGGAGCTGGCAAGACAGGGCAGGAAGCCACAGGTGCAATCCCTGAAGGTGCACGAGACGATTCTTGGTGAAGGAAAGGTAGCTGTCAACATCCATCCTGCCATGACTCTGCTGAATCAGGCCTCCCCAATATGTGAAAGTTCCGCTTAGGAACTTCTAAAGCCGTCCTTCAATTGCAGGTTCAATTGGCCCGCTCTTTGAGCCTCGGCTTCTGATCGACCCCCACAATCCCCCAAACACCTACCGGACCTCCCGTTTTTTTTGGGCTCCGCCGCCGGTCATGGTCATGGGTGTCTGCGGCTGCTGCGTGTAGTTCAGGGTTTCGGACAAGGCTGAAGGTATGGAAGGATTGGGCTGTCTACGAGGTACGCGCTGATTTTGCAAGCCTTGGTCTGCAACAAGTGTGTCTTCCGTGCGCCCCCTGCATGAGGACGGAGGCTCACCTCTGGAGAGAGCCTAGTCTTCGAACATGGAACACGTATTTTGGGCTCAGTGCTTACTGAGCCCGATGCTGAGCATAGCTGTAGGGAGCAGCTGGGAGAGTACTAGATGGTGGACACAAAATTCACCAACGTAGAGCAGCGGAACTCAACAAGCTCGACGACACATTCCCCCCTCTTTCTGGCTATCGCAGCTGGGCGCGATGTGCAAGTTGTTGCTAAACGTTCGCCGTCATGGACATGCGCGCAACAAGGTGAAAAGTGCCAACGGATTGTTGGGCTTTTAGAAGGTTGAGGGTTCCAAGACTTCTCATGCTGATCTCATTTTCGCACGCAATCAGCCTTTCTTCTGCCGGATGACCAAACAGCCACGGCAACCCGGCACTGCCGTTCAAACGAATGGGCGAAAAGGCTTGGCCATGCCTTCCAGCGCAAAGGCGCTTTTTTCGACTGGACCATGGCAGCGGCTTCTGACAGATGTGACCACGTGTCGTGGCTCGACATACAGGTTGGACATGTTTACATCTCCAGCATCCACACCGACCTTGCAGTAGTCGAGGGCCTTTGCGAGCCCAAGCTCTCCATCGACACTTGGTGGAGATCTCGGTCCACAGCGGAGCCTGCACTTTTGGAGAGGCATGGGGGCGTGAGCTGAGCCAGCTGAGGATCTGTGCAGAGCAAAAGACTGTCAGGGCCCGATTTCCGCGGCAAGTGCTGCAGATCGGGCCGCCAAAGATGATGCGGCATGTCCCTGGTCGAACGCGACCTAGAACTGCGCAGATTCCAATGCGTGCAGTACAGATCGTCCCTTTGCAGCACGCTGTGTAAAAAAGTCTCCGATGATGCCCACTACGTGTTAGGCCTGCTATGCAAGCACAGGCCTAGCAGCGATCTCTGTGAGTTTTGAGTTCAAAGGTCAGAGTTTTCATACTTTAGGGTTTGGCATTTAGGGTCTTAGGGCTGTATGACCTTGGAGAATGTGCAAGCTGCGCTTGACGGCACATGCGAAACTGGAGGCGCCTGCGCATGCACAGCACTTATGCTAAGGTCTCAAACATCTTCTCTTATTCTCTCGGAGAAATCCCTGGTTGAGCCTAGCTACTCGCAACACAGATTGGTGAGTCTGTGAATGGCGCAGCATGCTGGGACCTGTGTTGAGAAAAGCTTTCTGCCCCATGCACACGTGCCTGAAGGTCTTAAAGCAGCGGGCTTTGCGCTGCAGCGTAGGGATCTCGCAACTTAGAGCTGCGAGGAACTTTGGAAGCGGCCCGCCCTTAGGTGGATCTAAAGTAAAAGCTCACTAGTGCAAATAACTTTCTGAAAAGTGGCAGCAGGGCTTGCGCACGGGCCCAATCTTCTGACTCCGACGGCTTCGATGACGGTGCTAAATCAAGCCACGCGGTTGTTGCGACCACTGCCCGGCTGTCATCTTACTCCAGAGTACCTTTTCGGAGTACAATCGAAAGGAAAGGCCAAGGTGGCTAAGGGGATTTTTGGTTTGGTGCCTCGGGTGAGAGCCAGATGCCCGGCGGGCAGAAGGAACCTGCTCAGCTTCCGCGCCGTGATCGTGGCCAGCAGCGTCGAAGCAACGAGCTGGTGACCTGTTTCAAGCAATGACGTTAACGACAGGGGGTTCCTTGGAAAGTGCTGCGACGACCAGTTTATCTCTGCTAGTATGTATGACGACTTCTTCAGCTTGCAATGTACAGCTGTGTTGTGCTTGCTCCATCGGGTCTGACAGCTTGGTTGGACACTATTCTTGTCAGTTGTGCTTTCTTTTTCTTCTTGGGGGTGGGGGGGGGGGGGGGGGGCGGGGCCTTGGCCTAAAAGCAACTTCGTGGCTCTGGCCCTGGGCCTATAGGCACTCGCACATTCTAAAGCGACGTTGGGCTCAAGCCCCGGGTCTTCGACAGTTTGCTTTGCATCAATGGCTTCAAGGCTCTTTTCAGCAATCCTTTCGAACACGACTGGCAACGTCTGGCATTGAAACATGGCATGAACACAGGGGGCGCTGGTCACTAAGTCCCTCGCGACGACCGCAGCCTCTTCCTGCGCGAAATATTGGCTTTTGCTCGTGCCCGCGGCCTCAGCACCATGCCATGCTACATGCGCAGCCTTGGGGTTTGGATATATCCAGGGAAGTTACGGCATAAACTTGCAGAGTCAACTCGTAGAGTCAGAGCAGGGGCCGGACTGTTCGGAAGAAAGGCTGGAGGGCTTGAACGCTGCCGTGGACGCACCATGGCAGCCAGTGGATTCCTGATCTTCACGAAGCACACTATGACAACCTTCTGAAACTCTCTGAAACCTTCTAGGTCTGAAACTGCGCAAGTCTTTGGGTTGATCCGTTGACCCGAACGTGTACATAGTCGCATCCTTTGGGAATTTGGACAGCCCAACATGTCCTGCAAAGTGAACACTCTCGCTGCAAGCCTTCTGAAATGTCAAAGAAGCTTCCAGCGAGAAGTCACTATTGTGATGCGCTCTTCGTACATGGACTGATCTGATCAACTGATCTCCGGTAACGCGCTTTTGTCCTGCGAGAACCGAATGCATTAGCTTGGTGAGACGAGTCTGTCCGAGGTCAGCGGAGGCCCAGCAATGGGCCTCAACAGCTGATCTTGAGCTGGGCCGACTCAATGGATTCTGCCCGTCTCTTCTGCGATGAAACCATGGCTTTGGCGGACGCTCGCGGGCACCAGAGAGCCTCGGCCGCGGCCGCAAATGCTTGAAGACCCCCAGCTCTTCAACGCGACAATGCACGACAGGCGCCAGGCAGGTACGCGAAAACTTGTAGGCCCTTCAAGCTCCAAGCCCAGAACATGTTCCTGCACAGCAGCACGCGACCCTCTGAACCCGGAACCCTGGGGATGGGGCTGTTGTAGCGTATTTTATGTGCTTTAAGACTAGACGCCACAACCCCCCAAGCCCTAAACCCTAAACCCCTTAGCCAGCTGCCATTCTGTGATCATCGGCGCTTCTTCTTGCCCCCGCCGCGCTTGTCGCGTCGGGCCTTGGGCCGGCAACCCTAGGAGCAACGAAACCCGAAGATTGGGGACACATACCCGGTTTAATCTCAACCTTTATTGAAGTATATGAGTACTATCCCAAGCGCGGCTTTGGGTGAAGACCCGGCAGCGGTTGGGGGGTGGGGCAGCAATTTTCGCAAACGCGGCGGCGGGTACATCAAAACCCCACCGATAACACTTGGGGCCCCATCGCGCTCGTCACCGGCATCGCCGTCGTCCTCTTTCCTGAGCGCAGGTGCAGCAAATGGAAGCTCCAGGTCTTACGCCAGGCGCAGAACCCGTACTAGAAAACACAACCCCGGAAGAAGTAAACCAACCCTGTACACCCTAAACTCATAAACCAGCTATAACCTTAAACTCATAAACCAGCTATGAACCCTAAACCCTATGAACCCGAAAAAACCCTCTATCCCCTACAAGATCGTCGTCACAGAGGAAAGGCTTGACTGGGATCGCCCTTAGACATGCTCCTCTTAAACCCGATTTGGGGAACCATAAAAAGTCCCAAGGGCCTACCCCTTGACCCGAAACCCTAAGCCCTAAGTCCCTAAACCCTAAACCCTAAGCCTAAACCCCTGAATCCTAAACCCTAAACCCGAAACCCGAAACCCTAAACCCTACACCCTAAACCCTAAACCCTAACAGCACAGGCCAAAGCCGATTCGAGGAAGCCCTCGTTCCTGGGGCTTGGACCCTTCCTTGTCCTCGTCTTCGTCATCTCCGCCTAACGCCTCGCGCAGTGGGCTTTATGGCCATCTCCCAAAATAGGGGGCACCCCGTTTATGCTCCAAATAGAATGAAACCCCTTTAAATGGAACCCCCTTAAAGGGACCCCCAAAAGAAAGAGTACCCCTATGTTGGGAAACCCCCACATAGGGCTTTGGTTCGAACGCAGGGAGGAACTCGTTGTTCAACTCATGACGGGAGGATGGCATCGAGGGCACGGCACGGCGATTCTTGTCGAGATGCACACGCAACATCCCCGCACAAGACTCGCGATTTCTTCATCAAAGCCCCTGCATTCCTGTGTCTGTTCTTCTCTTGCCCTGCTTCTGCAATTCATGCATTCCTTGCAGTCCTCAAGCCAGAACCCTAAACCCTCAGACTCTGACCCTAGCCCCTGGTGGACAGCCAAGTTGACAGCACAACGTGCCTCGCTTAAGAGGTCCCACAACGCCTCGCAATGCAAAGTTCACAGACAAGAATACTGCTCACTCGAATTTCAGGTATCCACATCTTGTTCTAGGCTGCTGGGGATCTGTGGGTCTTTGTGTGGGTACGACCGCGAAGCAAAGGAAATCCTGCTGCAGCTGCCTGATAAAAGGCGCTTAAGCCTCAAAGCTTTGACTTGCAAGTCCGAAACTGTCACCCTTATCCCGCCATCGTGCATGGACGAATATCCCATAAAGTGAACGTTGCATAGCTGAATATGTAGCACAGGGTTTTCTTCAATGGCTTCTCTTCGAACCACATCCCTAACCCGCAGGGTGTGCAACGCAGAGTGCACATCAGGTTCCACACTCTAAACAATCCTGAAACCTACAACGCGGGCGATAAAACCCGTCGGACCTACACCCTAAACCTAAAACCCTAAACCCCTCCAGGCACGATTGTTTGCCGGCCTTTCGAAGACCTGGGCTCTGGAAGAACAGCGCCGAGAAGAGCGCCAGCCTGCAGAACGCAGGTTTAGGGTTTTGGGACGTGGGGCCTTCGGGTCCAGGTTTTCGCGTTTACAGGGTCTAGGGCTTCGGGTTTCGGGTTTATATAGGGTTGATATAGGGTTTATGTAGCGTTTATTTAGGGTTTGTGTAGTGTTTCGGGCATAAACCCGAAGCCCTACAACCTGTTAAGGCTGCAGCCACAAATTGGGGAAGGCAGTGAAGAATTTTAGGTTGGCAACCTTAACTCGAGACGAAGTCGAACCCAAACAGAAGCCGAAGCCCCAAACCCCAAAAACCTAACATCCCAAAACGGAGAAGAACCCCAAACCCTGAACCCTAAACCATCCTAAACCGCGCTAAACCCGAAACCTTAAGCCCTGAAGTAGCCTAACTCCCGCACCCTGAACCCACCCCACCCCCCACCCGAAAAAAGAAAAGGAGCGTCCTGCACGCCCGCCCTTCCCCAAATCCGGGCTCCGAGCGCCAGCACGAGGACCACGAAGAAGAATCTGGCTTCAGCTGAGGCTTCGGGGTTGTTGCAATGTGGGCTCAGGGATCAAGGTTTAGAGTTTAGGGTTTAGGGTTTAGGGTTCAGGGTTTAGGGTTTAGGGTTTAGGGTTTAGGGTTTACGGTGTAGGGTGGAGGGCACTTTAGGGCTTCTCAGAGCTTAGGGGGTTCGATTTCTAGTTTGTGTTTTTTGCTCGAGGCTTCAGGGGATTGACTAAGGGGATTCTATTCTGTTTAGGGGGGATAAAAAAGGGGGGGGTACCCCTAAATTTGGGAAATACCCATATGAGCAGGCTCTCTTCGGCATCGGCCTTTATGGAGGATTACGTGTAAAGTACTGTAAAGGTGCGTCTTGAAAGGGCTCTCGGAACCAAAACTCCCCTGCTGCACGCCCTAAACCCCAAACCCTAAACCCTAAACCCTAAAGCCTACCAAGCGACTGAAAGGCCGGAATCTCCCAAAGCATGGAGGCCACACCCTGTCACGGCGTCACTATCCATCTTGGCAGACGACGGCGTGCGGCCCGCCAGCTATACTGCAGGTGTGGCTGCTCAGCGTACTCGCAGTATAGACTGATGCACGCTAAACCTCGCTAGTTGCGTAATACCTGTGCTGGCAAGCATGAATTTGTGGAGTGGGGTGGGTCGATTTGGTCTGCAACCCACCCTTTGTCAATTGCCCTGCTCTGTGCCCGAGACATGCTGACCAAGGTGTTGCCTAGACGCGGAGACTGAGAAATCTGGCATGAAGGTTGGCTCCCGCTACTCTTGCTGGCTCATGACTGCCGACGCGGCTGCGAGACAGGTATGGCAAGTGCCGGGGACTCTATTTACCTACGGTTTAGTAGTAACCGCCCTTAATTCGTAGGTATAACCCCAGAAAACTCCAGGTAAAGAGGGCCCCAGGTGAATATGCCCAAATCCAGCTCCAGGAAGGGCAACGACGTCCATGCCTTCAAAGGTTCAGCCCTGCTTCGTGCAGTAGGAACCAGACCCAGGAGTAACCGAGGAATAAAAAGGGTACCCTTTTTGGTGTTAAGGGGGTGATAAGGGAACCCAAACACTAAAGAAAGGAAATGAGGGCCTGCTCCGGGTCCTAGCAGAAGAAGACCCCGTCTCATCGCCGCACACTTTTGTGTCTGCAATGCGTTTTTCAATCTTGTTCCTACTCTATGGCCGGGGCGGGGGGACGGAAGGATTGAGAGCACAAAGTCCGAGCCACATGTAGGGTTGTATGTAGACATCTCTCCGACCC